GTTGATTAAAAGCATCACTTAAACTCAAATTTCAGAAACAAAAATCTGAAAATGATTTTTTCTAGTGTATTTTTTTTTATTTGCATTTTCTTTTTTGCCTTGAAACATATATGGTGCATGAGACTCAGATGAGTCCGACATTCAGGGAAGATCCAAATTGGTTTTAAACTAGAACCCTTCAGCTTGAATGACATCACTATTCACTTACAACAGTTAAAAACAAAACAAAACAAAAAATCCTTGAGTCTTCTCTAATTAACGTTTGTGTACAATGTGAACAAAACAATTTTAATTGGAGCCCAACGGAGAGATTTTGAGTGGGAACCCAAAGATACTTCACTGTAGGGAACTGATCCTTATAGACTCCAATCCGTTTAAAATATGGGACTGTTCAGCTGTTGAGTTTGCAGGGGGCTACTGAGAAGCTCTGAAACTGCAGATCTGTGCGAAGTTATCATTGGGGTCGACACTGAATAGTTTAGGAAGAGAATCTACATCACAATAGACAATGTAAGACACAATGTATGTATGTATATTTTTCACATTTCTGAATAACTGGGTTTGTAGAATGAATTGGCTTTTGTTCTGTGTCAAGATTAGAAGTCACAGAAGGCAGATGGTGGTCTTCAGTTGCAACCCCATTTCACATTAAAACTGTTATTCAACATTGATTGGAAGCAGATTGCCAACTGTGCGCCATGTATTGGACTGATGACATTCTCCCGTTTGGAGATTTTACACTCTGCAATACAAAGACAGGACAGGAAAGGGAAGAACGACATGTCAAGAGTAGGGATGGAACAGGAGAAAACCAGTCATCAGTGGAAGGGTAGACAGCAATGTTCCCTCTAAGCTGTGGAGTCTTGTGAGCAAAAATTCTGCTTTGTGAGCTACTGGCATTAAACTTGTAGAGCGAGCGATTTGGCTGCTGCATAAATTAGTTTGTTCTGGAGCCCTCAACAATGTGTGAGCCGGAGGCTAAAAAACTGTGAGCTAGCTCACACTAACTCAGCTTAGAGGGAACACTGGGGATGCCCTCCTTTTAGGCGACATGCCCAGTGCTCCCTCTGAGCCGTGGAGGAGTCCTGTGAGCAGAAATCCTATTTGGTGAGCTCCTGGCATTCAAGTTGGGGGCGAGCGATTTGGCTGCTGCATAAATCAGTTTGCTCTGGAGCCCATCCCTTCCCGAGCTGAGACGAAAATCTGTGAGCCGATAACTAAAAAACTGTGAGCCAGCTCACACCAGCTCAGCTTAGAGGGAACACTGGTAGACAGATGCTCTGCCACGGAGCCATGGCCCACTGAAGCATCTGCATCTCATACTTTGTGTCTGGCAAACTAGGGAGGGGTTGTGCTTAGTGGTAGGAATGCAGGAGGTCCCAGGTTCAATGCCCTACCATCTCCAGTGAAAGGATTTGGCAGTAGGCGATGTCAACTCCTTCTGCCTGAGACCTTGGAGAGCCACTGCCAGTCTGAGTTGACAATACTGACTTTGATGGAGTCCCAGGGGTCTGATTCAGTAGAAGGCAGCTGCATGTGATCATGAAATCCCATCAGCCACCATCTTTTTTAAAAAAAATAAACTTTGTCTTTCTTTGACAACAAAGCCAGATCTTTTGGTCCAAACTTTCTCTGAACCCTCAGCATACAGAAGGTCCCAGGATCCCTGGCATTTCCAGTTGAAACAACCAGGTAGTATGGCAAATACCTCTGCCTGAGACCCTTCAGAGCTGCTTCTAGTATGAGTAGACCAAACTGACCTTGATGGACCAATGGTCTGCTTTAGTAGAAGACGGCTGCATGGATATGTTCATATTTTGATATATATATTTTTGCATTTTATTAACAGTGCCTGAATCCTAGTGTATTTAGTTAGTAAATGCTGTGTTTGGCGACTCTGTGCACTAGGAGCATGAATATAAAATGTGATCTCCTTCTGTTTGGCTTCCCATATAACAAATGGCACCCTGAACTGGATGGCCCAGGAGGGCCCCGTCTCATCAGCTATCAGCTGCTGAGCAGGGTCATCCCTGGTTAGTACATGGATGGGAGGCCACCAAGGGAGTCCCGGGTCGCTACACAGAAGCAGGCCATGGTAAGCCACCTCTGGACGTCTCTTGCCTTGGAAACCCCATGGGGCCGCCATGAATCCGCTGCAACCTGACGGCACTTTACACACATGGCATGGTGAGAGAGTGTGGTGTAGAAAGAAATTCCTTTCTTTCTCCCTTTGCTACGACCCTGGAGCATCCACTGGCAGCAGGTCTAGAGTGAACACACACAAAATACTTGTTCATACAACATCATCGATTGTTACAAGATGTAGTGATGGCCACTAGCTTAAAAAAAGGTTCAGACCGATACACGGGTCTGTCTGTCAGTGCTTTGTAGCCAATATAATGGTAAGCAATGGAACCCCTGGTATACATCTGAGTGCCCGATGTAGGGATCTACCAAGAGAAGATCTTGCCTGGTTCATGAGCTCTCTAGAAGTATCTAGATAAGTGCTTACAGACTGTATTCTTGGTGCTGGGGGGACTACAGTGGGAGGGCTTCTGGTGTCCTCCTGACCCCACTGGTGGACCTCCTGATGGCACCTGGTATCTTTGGCCACTGTGTGACAGAGTGTTGGACGGGATGGGCCATTGGCCTGATCCAACATTGACTTCACTTCTGTTCTTATGTTCTTACCGCAAGCCTATGGACACGTTGCTGGGTGTAAGCCCCAGTGAATAACACGGGACTTACTTCTAAGTAGATCTGCTTTGGATTGTTCCCTTGGTGATCAGTGCCAGTGGTTCAGGTGGACCTTTGAGCTGGCCTAGGAGGAAAGCTCCTGTGGACAGCTTTCCCTGCACAACTAGGGACGATGCTGTAACAACAACAAATATTAGGATCATTTCTATAAAATGTGATGACTTTTGTCTTTGTGTCTCTTTATTGCTCTTCTCGCAAGTCCATGAGCTTTTTAAATGTGTATTCTGTGTACAGTGATCAACGTAAAAACTTTTGGTCACTTCAAATGGCCTGCTTGCATGAACCTGGCTAATTTATCCTTCAGTTTGTGTCCTCTCATTCTCAGCAAGAAATATAATAAGCTATCAAGCCATCATAAATAATTGGAAATGCACTTAAGGATATGTTTAAAGAAACCTAGTGGAAAAACTTAAAACATTAGCTCACATAAGAGAAGGTCAGTCATTGAAAGCGCTCTCTCTCTCTCTCGCTCTCTCTCTCTCTCTCTCTCTCTCTCTCTCTCTCTCATTAATTTGGTCCTCTTTCTCTATTGCTTGGACCAAAAAAGGACATAAAGGATTTCTGTATCTCAACATGTTCAGATTCGGTCCCTTTACACATTAACAGCAGTGTATGGAATGGAATATATATTTCAATTAACAAAAAGTTTAAAATGCAATATTTACAGCAATATAAGTGAGTGGAGAGAAAGAAAACATTTTGTGACTGATTTATACATTATTTATTGGTGTAATATTATATAACATATGACCAATTGTGCAATAAAGCTGGAGATATGCCAGCTTTATTGCAGAGCAATTTTTTTCTTCCTTCGGGGAATCATTCTTGTTTTAATCAAAATATTGTCTAGCAAGTATCCATGTATGAATGGTTGGTGTGTATCCTTTCAGACGATGCTGTTCTTGTAGGTTAAATGTGAAGTGCAACTGAACATTTGGGGCACAGAATCCACCCAAAGCTGAGCATTTTAAAGTGCCATTCACTTTGTGAGCTGAATTCTTGCCATACAGTTACACAACAAAACTCACCGGAAAAGACAATAACGCTAGGAAAAGTTAAAGGCAGAAGAAAAAGAGGAGGAACCAACCTGATATGGATTGACTCCCTCAAGGAAGCCACAAAGGCCCACAGTTTGGAAGACCTGAGCAGGGCTGTTAACAAGAGGACATTTTGGAGGACATTCATTCATAGGGTCATTGTAAGTTGGAAGCCACTTGACAGCCCATCCAGTCCAACACTCTGTGTCACACACTGGCCAGAAATACCAGGTGCCATCAGGAAGTCCACCAGTGGGGCCAGGACATTAGAAGCCCTCCCACTGTTGACCCCCTCCAAGCACCAAGAAGACAGAGCATCACTTGCCCCAGACATAAGAACATAAGAGAAGCCAATGTTGGATCAGGCCAATGGCCCATCCAGTCCAACACTCTGTGTCACACAGCGGCCAAAAACACCAGGTGCTATCAGGAGGTCCACCAGTGGGACCAGGACATTAGAAGCCCTCCCACTGTTGATCCCCCCCCCAAGCACCAAGAAGACAGAAGATCACTTGCCCCAGAGCCCCTATATACACACAGTGACACTTGCCCCAGTGAAATCACCAGGAATTAAGAATACCTGCCTTTGGCTGAATTGCATCCTTTTAACAAAATCTTTATTTTCAGATCTAAAAATGTGACTCGTTAATTTGGTCCTCTGTCTCTATTGCTTGGACCGAAAAAGGACATCAAGGATTTCTGTCTCTCAGCATGTTCAGATTTGGTACCTTTGCACATTAATGGCGGTGTATGGAAGGTCTGCCATCAACTCACAGCTGACTTATTGCAACCCCTGAAGGGCGTTCAAGGCAAGAGATAATCAGAGTGGTTTGCCATTGCCTGCTTCTCTGTAGCAACCCCAGACTGCCTTGGTGGTCTCCCATCCAAGTACTGAGCGTGGCATGCCCTGCTTAGCTCCCAAGCTCTGGCTAGTCTGAGCCATCCATAAGAACATAAGAGAAGCCAATGTTGGATCAGGCCAATGGCCCATTCAGTCCAACACTCTGTGTCACACAGTGGTCAAAAATACCAGGTGCCATCAGGAGGTCCACCAGTGGGGCCAGGACACTAGAAGTCCTCCCACTGTTGCCCCCCCCCAAGCACCAAGAATACAGAGCATCACATGCCCCAAACCGAGAGTTCCTATCTATACTTTGTGAAGCTTGGGGTACTCCAACTATTTGAGGAGGGGAACCTTTGTATCCAATGAAGTATTCATTCACCACATGTTATTTTCTGTTTGCGTACAGGAATCGGGCCCATGGAGAGAACTTCACAGTGGTGACCCATTTCATCCTCCTTGGCATCCCCCACACCGAAGGCCTCCAGAACATCCTGTTCATTATATTCTTAATCTTCTATATGTGCACGTTGCTGGGGAACTTGCTGATCATGACCGCCATCTTCACCGACTCCCGTCTCCACACTCCCATGTACTTCTTCCTCTGCAACCTCTCCATCCTGGACATTGGCTTCTCTTCCGTGAGCACCCCCAAGATGTTGGCTAACCTCTGGGCACAAAGCAGAGTGATTTCATTAGGGGGATGCATGTCCCAGGTCTTCTTCTACCACTTCCTAGGAAGCACAGAATGTCTCCTGTACACCGTCATGGCCTATGACAGGTATGTTGCCATCTGCCACCCACTGCGGTATCTCATCATCATGAACTGGAAGGTGTGCGCCATCTTGGCTGCTGGCACGTGGCTCACCAGCTCCTTCCATGCCACTATTCTCACCACCTTGACTTTCTCACTACCCTACTGCGGGCCCAATGAAGTGGACTACTTCTTCTGCGATATCTTCCCAGTAGTCAAGTTGGCTTGTGCCAACACGGTCCTTATTGAGACAGTGAGCTTCACCAACATCGGCCTGGTGCCCATGACTTGCTTCCTTCTTATCCTCACCTCCTATGTCCGCATTGTCTATTCTGTCCTGAGGATGAGCTCTGGGGAGGGTCGGCGCAAGGCAGCGTCCACCTGTGCCTCACACTTAACTGTAGTAACCCTCTTCTTTGGCCCCTGTGCTCTGATCTACACTCAGCCATCACTAAGTGAGATTCTGGTGACCCCGGTGCAGATCTTTGGCAATGTGGTGACACCAATGCTCAACCCAGTCATCTACACCCTATGGAACAAGGAAGTGAAAGCAGCTTTGACTAGACTGACTGGGGAAAAGAGAGTTTCACAGACAATAACCCATTAGGTTAATGTTTTTGCTATTGCTAGAGTGTTGGTGGTGGGCAAGCAAGACTCAGGTTCAAGTTTCTTGTCAGTCAAGTGTACTTTAAAGGACTGAATGCTGAATGTTCCTATGCCTGCACTCACCCAGTGCAGACTGGTTGCAACTAAATCCCTTTAAATGTAACGATTCCTTGGAGAAAATGGCTGCTTTGGAGGTTGGGCGCTGTGGCATCATAACCAGCTGAGGTCCCTCTTCTCCCCAAACCCTGCCCATCCCCTGGCACCACCCCCCAAAATATCCAGGAATTTCCCATCCCAGAGTTGGTAACCCTTGCAGTGATTCCTAAAGGCTGTTTTTGGTTGATTGTGTCTCATAACTGAGGGACTGCGAGTGTACAATCAAATGAAGTGAGGTTGGGGGATACATGCAGAAGGGCCTTCTCGTCTACAGTCCCCATACTTTGGAACTCTGTCGCAAACATTTTGATTGTCTAAAGCATGGCTTTTGTGGTGGAACAGGCCTGCTCTAGCCTGCAGGCCTGAATCCACCCTGCCCTCCAAGGTTTCCCAACACTTGGAGAGGCTTTTCCTTCTCTCTTGGGTAACCTGCTGCCACCACCTGCCCTTTGTAGGAATTGCCCACTGCTACTCTGCTTCCCTTCCACATTCTGAGGCCTTGCCGCTGTGTCTCCTGCTGCCTGGCACCTGTTCAACATGGGGACCATTTACTGCCTTGTGCGCCCCTGGAGGAATGGCCACTGGCCAACTGCCTGCCTTCTCCCTGGTGCTCCTTTTAAAATAGCATGTCCAAGAAGGTGGAGATGAATGTGGTACATAGAGCCACTGCCAGCATCAAAAGTTTAAAGTATTTATTAAAAAGAAATTGTTCAAAGCATACTTTTAGCACAGCACCAGTCTGAGCAAGGGATGCCAAAAGAAATCAGTAAAATGCAAATCCTCTGTCCCTTTCTCTATACATGCCCTATCAGACGTTAAAATATAAGACAGGCTCTTTTTGCTTAGGAAGTTACAGTTCTCTTCCCCTCCCCACAACAGACACCCTGTGAGTCCAAAGCTGTCCTTGAGAGAGCAGCTCTGACAGAACTACAGCTTGCCCAAGGTCATCCAGCAGCTGCAAGTGGAGGAGCAGGGAATCAAACCCGGTTCTCCCAGATTAGAGTCCGCACACTTAACCACTACACCACTATACCAAACTGGCTCCTTCCTTCATACTCATATGTTTTAGAACAACAATACAAAAAAACTAATTAGAAAAAGAAAAAGAGAGCAGCACTGTAAGTGGCCAGGATCCAGTTTACCCAGGCTGCCAAATCCAAAGATGCCATCTAGAGATACAAGATTCAGGAAATCACTGTCAACAGTGATATAGCTATTACTGATTTTGCTGTCTGACTATCTCATAAGTGCAAACTTTAATCTGTATGTAAGAATATATGCATTTTTTATTTCTAGCAATTATCATAATACAGTATTGGACATCACGTAACAAAATCAAAGTATCATATGCTTACATAATTTCGAAATAAGAGGTATACGTGTAATGTGAGGAGTCTTAACGTGGCAACACTTTTTTGTTTTCCTGATGGCTAATAGCAATGCACTCATAATTTTCCAAGTATGTGGCAAACCACCTCTGCTTCTCACTTGCCTTGAAAGCCCCTTGCTGGGGTCCCTGTATGTCAGTTACAACCAGTGTTCCCTCTAAGATGAGTGAGTGTGAGCTAGCTCACAGTTTTTTAGCCTCCAGCTCACACATTTTTGTCTTAGCTCAGGAAGGATGGCTCCAGAGCAAACTAATTGATGCAGCAGCCAGATTGCTTGCTCCCAACTTTAACGCCAGTGGCTCACATAGTAGAATTTTTGCTCACAAGACTCTACAGCATAGAGGGAACATTGGTTACAACTCAATGGCACTTAGGTAAAGGT